TGTTTGTTTTCCTAGCAGTCCATGGCATTCTCAATACTCTTCTCCAGCACCACAGCTCAAAGGCATCAATTCTCCTTCTATCCTCCTTGGTCATTGTCCAGCTCTCTGCTGCATAACAAGTGATTGCGAAGACCATGGCCTGTATCAGACGCACCTTAGTCTCCAGGGAGATACCATTGCTCTTCAGTACTTTGAAGAGGTCCCTAACAGCGGACTTACCCATGGCAATGTGCCTTTTAATTTCCTGGCTGCTGGTGCCAAGACTGTTGACTGTGGAGCCAAGCAAACTAAAGCTGGGTACAATCTCAATCTCTTCACCATCCATTCTGATGCTGCCAATTGGTCCAGTGGTGAAAATCTTTGTCTTCTTGACATTGAGCCTCAATCCATATTGTAGGCTACAGTCCTTGACCCTCTGCAGCAGGTGCTTCAGGTCCTCTTCATTTTCAGCAAGCAGGGTTGTGTCATCTGCATAATGCAGATTGTTGATAAGTCGTCCACCAATCTTGACCCCACATTTCTCCTCGAGTAGGGTAGCCAGGTTTAAGTTCTCCACAGAGCAGCGCTTCTGGGGCTGTGGAGATACTCAGGCATTGCAGCTAGGAGCATTATTACATGATGAGCTGGCCAGATTAAAATGAAATCACATGCATGCAGGACAGTGGCCACATAGGAGGTCATTATCTTCAAAAATACATTTTTATTCACATATATGTGCCCACCCTTTATCAAAAGAAAATGTCCAGTCACTGGAAAAGTGTGCTCAGCAGATATTGATTGTCCAGGAAGGATGTTATGGTAGTGGTGATAGGATTTCATGATAAATAAATTTAAAAGTTCTGCTGTGGACAGTTTTTTGAGAGAGAGAGAGAGATTAGTATACTAGCCTTATTCCAAAAATGACATACATGTCATCTTTTACTAGTTTCTGTATGGTCACACTTGGTTTTGACTAAATCTGGTATTATCCATTGAATCATTTCCTGTTACCAACTTTCCTGCAGAGATTTCCATAAACAAGGACACCAGCCTCAAAGGTTAGAAGTTAACCAATGTTGACGTTCCAGAAATCAAAGCAGTTCAACCCCAAAGGGATTATGTGCAGTGATCTAAAAAGGGGATTAATGTCTAACCTTCACAAGGAGACTGCTTGAAACAAACTTTTCTTGGGATTTATAAGCTCTGCTATGATCACTGAACAAAACACTTCTACTTTGTATAATTTTAAAACCATCCTAAGTTATTGAAACAATTATAGGCTATCTTCCAGTGTCAACTGAGAAGAAGTAGACATGATTGTAAGTGTCGTTTGAACATATATTCACAGAATCATGTATTTAGAGATAGCTGAAATATAAATCATACCTCCAAAAGCTCGAACTCATTGCTATAAAGTCAGATTGACTTCTAGCTCTACCACCAGCATATTTTCAGAGGCTGTAAATCACACAGGAGGATATTACCCACTTTTCTCTCGAAGAGTGGTGGATTCAAATTGCCAGAGGGACAAGACATTTGGATTAGCAGTGAAACTCCCTACAGACTCTGCTGTCTCTGGAGTTTCTCCTCAAAATGGAGGCTACTTTAATGATACTAGTGGAGGAAGCTTTCAGTCAGTGAAGAACCTTCAGTTGATGATACGGCAAGACTTGCACCACCAGAGTTCCCTGAAAGACAAGTACAGGCGAGAAATAGACAAACTTGTCAGGCCCAGAGTGATTATTGTTTAACTGAGACTTGACAAACCATTATCTGAACCCCTTTCTAGGTATCAAAAAACAAAGGTGTTAAAAAAGAGAGGGAGGCATGTTCTGCAGTGAATGGGAGATAATTGTATAACTTTTTAAATGCTAATCCAATCTGAGCTCATTCATTAGGTTTCATCACTCAGTATTAAGCAGTAATGATCTAAATTGACACAGGCGTACTGAGAACAGTGGGATCTTCATTAGTTCCAGAAAGAAGTTGATGTTGTTGTGGACCCAGTGCATTTATTGAACGCATCGCATGACACCGTTAGCCTTTTTCAGAGTACCCGTTTAACACTCTTTTCCATCAAAGCTGGTTAGGTTCATCCTTGTGGTTTCACTGTCTCCCCCCACCTGCTCACTCCGCTCTGCCGCATTCTTCCTCTGCATTTTGAAGATGTTCTCTCTGTTCTCAGCACAGCAACCAGAGTTACCAAGGTTAAGCCGTACCATGTCAGCATATTTTTCAGAACCATCTGATGGTTGCTGAGTTCACTCACAGAGCCTCCATCCGTTTAGTGGCCTGCAGTACCCTACAGCCTTGAATCCCCCCACACCCTGTACTGCTCTCCCCGACTCACTGCACTCCAGCCTCACCCCTCCTTGCTGCTCTTGAACACCTCAGGCATGTGCTGGCCTTAGTACTTGGTACTTACATGCTCTGCCCCAGAGCAGTCATCGCTCATGGCTTGTTCATGCCTTCTCTCCAGAGCTTTACTCAACTGTTACTCAAACGTCATCTTTGCAGTAAAGGTTCACCCATCTCTTCAGCACATTCCCATTCCTGGCTTTATTTTTCACCTTAGCAGAGTCGTACTTACTTACATTTCACCTGTTCACCTTTTCACTAACTCCCTTTCTGCCAAACCTAAGATTCCTAAGAGCAGAAATGTTTGCCTGAGTTTCACACTTCTTATTCCAGCCACCTATAATCAATGCACTACTGTCTACTAAAAGCCTAATACACAGTAGGTGCTCAGTTAAATCCTGAATGAACAAATTATTACATTAAATGATGCCTTGCCTTTCCTTAACTCTGATGCCTACAGTCTTTTGACTTCTTTTTTTATAGGGGGACATTCCCTGCTTGAACTCTGAGGGAAACACGTGCCTCTGTAGGATCAGAATTTATTCTTCTTCAGATGTATTTCTTCATTAATCTTCCTACTCAACTCTTACAGTTTACTTGTTTATGTAACTGTGAGAAGTCTGTGTGTACATATACATGTGTACATGTATGTACATACATATGCAGAAGGACACATGCATGAACATACAAATGCAACCATATGAAATCTCAAATTCCTTATTGACTCATGCAATGATTATATCACGACACATGCAGCCTTCTAGACACAGAATGTTCAGGTTGATCCCTCAGTGACCAGGGCAGTGCCTCAGACCAGGTCAAGGTGCCACTTGCATGTTTTCTGAATTGAATGTAAAACAATTTTTAGTCTTTCTGGCTCTTTTTAAAATTTTTTTTTATTCATTCTAATGAAAATTTACAGAGACTTTGGATTTCCATTCATTCATTTTTGCACTTTTTCTCTGGCTCTTTAAAAATCTGATTCCATAGCTCTTTCTTTGACTGAGGATACTCATTGGGGAATAAGGGATACCCCCTGAGTTTCAGCGAGATGGATTGAGACGGTGACTGCTGCAGTGGTCTCGAGTACGTGAGAAATGATGAAGATGGCATGCGATAGGACAGATTCAGCTCTGTTGTTCATAGGGTCATAGAGTCGAACTCAACACGATGGCACCGAACAACAGCTCACAACCCGAGTTGCCAGGACAGAAACACAGACTGACTAAATTAGCTAAACAATGAAGTCTTTTCTTGACTGCTCATGACAGTGAACATATTACGTGAATATATTTCCTTCCTGCTGTTCTCACTCTTCTTTTTCAGCTTGCCATGAAGTGGATGATTCATCGGTTGTCGGATTAAAGTATTTGCTTCTTGGTGCCATACACAAATGTCTAGGAAACTCCGAAGATGCTGTTCAGGTAAATGGTCCATCTGGTTGTCATGACAAAAGAAAATAAATTGGACACCTATGTATGCACTTATGAGTAAGAAGAATGAGAAAGTGTTCAGCAAAAGAAAGCCTCCCACTGCAGTGCCAGCGTTACCCTCTTTGATTACTGTCATTTCTCAGTTGCTGAAAGCTGGTAGAAGCTTGAATGCAACTTCAGATTCTTAGCACAGATTTTTGCAAATGTGTGAAAGTCTCAACTGGAGAGGGGAGATGAGAAGGCAGATCATTTTGAAGGGTGGACTTGGAACTTCATAGCTAAAGAAATAATCATGGATGTTCATGGTTTTCTCTCTGCTCTGCACCGTCCTCACCGGTTGGAGCTACCCTGTCAGTCCCTCTCACTGAGGGTCTTACTGCCCCTCTAATTCACCGAGTATGATGTCTTTCTGCACAAATTGCTCCAAAGGGTGTGAAACCAAGTCTCGCTATCTTCACTTCTAAGTGCTATCAGCTTTGTTAATTCCCTGGCAGTTCATGGTCTATTCCATATTCTCCACCATCACCGTAATTTAAAGGTATCAATGCTTCTCTGGTCTTCTTAATTCACTGCCCACCCTCTGCTTGTATGTGAGGCAGTTGAAAATACCATGACCTGAATCAAGTCTACTTTAGACCTCAAGGTGATATCTTTGCTCTTTAACACTCTGAAGAGATCAGTTGCTGCAGAGTTGCCTAAGGCAATATGTCGTTTTTGAAGTCCTTGGTGATGTTGATGTTTTCTTTATTTATCAGGGTTTTGGTGTTTTTGTGGTTTTTTTTTGCTGGTTCAGTTGTTTGGATTGTGGAGAATTTTTGCTCTCTTAAAATTGCCTTTAATCGATACTGAAGGCTTTGTAGTCTTTTATCTTCATTAGTAAATACTTCAGGTCTTCTTCCTTTTCAATAAACACAGTAGCATCATGTGAAAGTCATAGGCTCAAGTTATTCTGTGATATGTTGAATGAATAAGAACCATTCATTATTCTCACAAATAGTTGGAGGCCCATCAGTCCACTGACAAGGTGGCTGCTGCAAGGGGCTCTTGTGTGTCTGGAAGTGTGAGCATGGCGCATTACAGGACTAGGTTCAGATCTTTTGTTCACAGGGTTGCTTTGAATCGAACTTGACTCGATGGCACCTAACAGAAATAGCAACATCATTGGAGACATTTTGTAACTGTTTTTTACTCGTTTGAATTTTTATTGGAAAATTTATGTCCTGTTATTATTTTTAATATTTATAGAAGTTCATATTTTGTAATGGGAATCTTGTAGACTTAAAGCCCTTAAACAGTAATGTACCTGCATTGTAATTTTAAATTAATCTCCCAGTTTGAAGTAAGATAAAGTTATTACCTTGTTCCAAATGGCCAATTTTAGATCACATGTGGACGTACCAGCTAGACACATCATGTTAAGAGATGCTTCTTGGCTTCTTTGTTCTCTGCTTATAATATGAAAATGAGACTTTGAGATGCAGAATCCTCAACAATGATAAAGGAGACTGGTGCATTACCTGGAAAACTAAGTAGCCCCAAACTGATTGGTTAATTAGTACCATACGCTAGAGCAAGCTCACTAGGCAAAGCATATGAAAGACTTCCGAGAATGACAAGACGGGGTACCAGAGATGGATGGGAACTGATGGAATGAAGACAAGAAAGGAGAAAAACTGTCAGAGAATACAGGAAGATGAGTCTTTTTTCTTTCCTGCCTCCTAAAGATGAAATAAGCTCTAAACAAAGTGTGAAAATTCATTCATAGTAGCAACATTTACATTATTTCTTTCTAGTTCTTCCAGCGAGCTGTTAAAGATGAGTTGTGTCGTCAGAATAACTTGTATGTTCAGCCCTATGCTTGCTATGAACTGGGCTGTCTTCTGATAGACAAACCAGAGGTGAGTTCTTAACATAGTTTTTAAGTATTCTTCACCACAGAAGGTGGGTAAATGAGCATGGGTAAAGCATCCTTTATCTAAAATAATTGAATGAAACATGTTATTCTAGAAGAGTTCCAGAGAAGAGAGGATTACTATCTTCTTTTCTTAAAGGAGATTGTTCTCGGGAAGTGAAAGTATAGTTTTTTTAATGGTGATTTATTTGAGAGGAAAAATACCGCCTTTTTAAAGCTGACGTTGAATGACGTGGTGTGGTTTATTCCAAGGACACGGAGTTCATTATGATCATAGCGTGACCATATAGTTTAATATATGACACCAATTAAGTCACTTAACCGTATAGTTCCCCCCCCCCAGTGTCTAAAATGACTTAATGATACTTCCCTTGACAATTTAATAAGCTTGAGAGAGAGATCAAGGATCCGTGGTAGCACAGTGATGAAGTATTCAGATGTTAACTGAAAAGTCAGTGATTAAAACTAGCTTCTAAGCGGACTTTCTGTTAACAGTGAGAGCTTAATACTAGGAAGAGATGTGGCAGTCTGAAAACTTGGCAGGATAGCAGTGGAGTTGGGCTTCTGTTTATCTTGGTAGTGAGATAATTAATGGTAGTGTATGTCATTGCTTTTAAAATTGTAGACTGTGATGCAAATTTGATATTTACAATTGAGACATTAGTTTAAGTTAGTACAATAAGATCACCTTTCAATATTTTGTTTCTTGAATAAGATTCCAATAATGTTTTGTTTTGCACTTTTTTTTTTTAGTACTTTTTTAGGAGCTCATTTTTTATAACATTGCCTTTGTAAAACCCTAGTTTTTCATTACATTGAGCAAAGATTTCCAATGTGACAGCCTAAAGCAATAGAAATATGCCTCTAGCCTCATCCTTAAACATTTACTTTATCTTGCCAAAGATAGGCTTTTAGTTAAAACATTTTTTAATTTGAAAGTCTAATTTTAGCAAAACAGAAGTCATAGTTTTTATGTATGGATTAGAAAGTGCTGTCACTGTATTCTTTATTTTAATGAAGTTTTCACTCTTAATGCTGCCTTAAAATACATATTTACATCTCTAAGTTCACGTAATAGACCTGACCAACTTCTTGGCATATAAACCAAGTCAATGGCCTCACCCATAATACCGTCAAATAACATATAATTTACTGATTTCAAATAAAGCTTTTTTATTACCGTTCATTTAAAGTTACTTGGTAATAATTTTAGACTTATGCAGTTATAACTCTTTTAAGTTGTTGTCTTTTCTAGAATATAATGTAGACTATGAAAAATTACCACATGATATGTGCATATGAGCTGATAAACAACTTTATGTTGAAGATAACAAGGTTCACTGAGCAGTTCATTCACCTCTGCATCCAGCATGCTTGTTTTCATTGGCGTAGCCGACTGCTGGGTTTTTGCCTCTGTGTGTGTGTGTGTGTGTGTGTGTGTGTGTGTGTATTTTTTGAAATTTTTTTTTCTTATGTTCATAGACTGTAGCAAGAGGCAGAACTCTCCTTCTTCAAGCAAAGGTAAAAAATTAAATCAGCCTTTTGTCCATGGCCTTCTTATCCTTTGGGGTGTATGCCCAGGTCTGAATAAAAGGAAATTTTATAAAATTATTGTGCTGATTGGTAATATTTCTGGAAAAGAAGGGTAACTAATTGAATCAGCAAACACTTGGTTTTTAAATGAAGTTACTAAGGCCATAAGAAATTCCTGTTCATTTGTTCACCTTATTTTATAACCCATTCTAGTCTAAAGTGTTTGAATGGGAAAGTTACTTTTTTTTTTATAACTATATTCTTAAATCACCTTTGTAGCTGTTATAATCTACTAGTGTCTCCTCAGGAAAAAGATGCACAGTCTCCTATTATGTGATTTATGAGTTTGGACGCCCAGTGGAGGGTCAGCTATGAGTCTGTTCTGACTTAATGGCAATGGGGAGGGGGCTGCAGAAAGAGAGAAAGAATAATCATTTACATTGTGCATTCATTAAGGCTACTATTCCAGTAATAACATGAGGAAAATATAACAATATTCATGTTCAGATAACATTTAAAAGATGAACACAGAGTTTGTGGTCCGGAGAATAAAAATTTAAAGCACACGCAAAGGCTTCAGGAATGGATTAAGGGCTGTTACTTTGGGGAACCCACAGTTTGGTGGCGTTTGTACTGCAGTGTGCGGGGAAGAGTTGGCTGATAGGTGCCATAAATGCTTGTCTTTGATCTTGCAGGAGGATTTCTCTGGCTACGACTTTGAGAACAGACTGCATGTGCGCATCCACGCTGCTCTGGCCTCTCTGAGGGAATTGGTTCCTCAGTGACCAGCCCCAAGCCTCTGCTTTCCCCCTTCCCGCCCAGGTTCCGCACTTTAAACAGAAGCAGAAGACAAAGCTCTTGTGAAGAAGATAACTTTGCTTCTGAGAACCACCTGTGCCAGAGACACATTTTCCAATTAGGCTGATGTGTTTAAAAAAAAAAAAAACCACAAAAAAACAAAACCACCACTTCTTTTAAACATGTAGCTGAAAAGTAAGAATATTAACAACAATGACAATAAAAACCTGGTGAGAGGGTTAAGTGACCTTGTTCACATATTTTACTTTTGTGATTTATCCTTTTTAAAGTGAAATCAAACTAAACACAACCTGTAATCCTGTAGGAAAATTTACCTTAAGCACATATCTGACTGAACATCATTAATAATATCAAGATATAGCATTTATATTGTGTTTTAAAAAAATAATAAAGCGCCTTCAAGTGTTTTACTTTATCTTCAAAATGTTCCTGTTGAATAACGTAGCACCAGTGTTCTTGGCCCAATTTTACAGAAGATGAAATTCAGGCACAAAACACAGATTGACACACCCAATTAATTATTCCTGTTATCTATAAACAGGATGCAAATTTCCTGAGCCCTGACTGAATATTCTTTCATTGTAAAAATACATATTTTAATAACTCAAAACCCAGTGTTTTCTTTATTCAAAACCAAAATGCTCTTTGGATGAAGTTGTTTCAGGAAAATATTTCTCCCCAGACTGTTTACAAAATGTTTCAAAATGATGCACACTTTCTTTTTTTCCACTTGAAAGTCAACCAAACTGAAGGAAATAGAAGATCATCTTACAATAAAAAAAAGTAAAGCTCTTTTTGCCAATCTATTAAAAACTCTGGTCTAGAAACTAGATATTTAACAAGTACATCTTTTAGGAGTTTCTGTTTATTTGTATAACTATTAACTTTTGGAGATCTTTCACCCAATTACTTGTAAAGGTTATTCTTGAATGAATAGACGTTTTCATGCCTCAGAGTATTTTGTGGTAAATGATTTGCTAAGCTATATGTTGCCAGAGTTTAATAATTTTTCCCTTTGCTCAGGTTATTATATATTATGAAAGGTGTTGAGAGTTATTTTTTTAAATCCCTATTGCTAATTCTTATTGACAGTTTGTTTACCTCCATACCCAGTACTGCACACCTGTGGTTTTGAAGAATCTAAATACCTCAGTCACTTTGAAGACTTTCTGCCATAATTGTATGACTAACTTGGCTCAGTCTCAAGATTAGACTTTTTTTTTAATTGGGCTGAAAGGTATTGTTTTAGATTGTCACTTATTTATTTGGCAGGCCTAATATGATGTTCATATTTCAGTTCCTTTTTTCTGAAATAAAACATGAGAAAAGAATGTAGAATGTTGACCAACTTAATCTAATTTAATAGTATTTTAAAGGAGTAAAAAATTTCTCTGAAAGAAGTCATTTTTTCCTCCTCGACACTGGCTAAACTATCTTCATGTTTCTTCATGCACCTCACTCAGATGTTTGTTCACCTCTCTGACTGACTGCTTTTTGTTAGACTGTCATCTTTCCTGATGTGAATTCTGCATGGCTGCTTGAGTCTAGCCAATGAGAGAGGACTTCTGCTCATATTCCGTGAACGACTATATTCAGAAACCAAGCAAGTGCTCCTCTCTGAAAAAAAACACACACACCTGGTATCTAAAAGTACTGGCTAGCATCTAGACTGGAGGGTGGATGTGACACATCTTCGAAACATGAACGTTTTTGTCTTCTTATCTTTATGCAGTAAAACTGTGAGAGCTAGAATTCAACAGGACTGCCTTATTTTTTCACATCTTGCAAGTTTTCTGCCACTAACAGGGTGAAGTATTACCACTTCTCTGTCATTCTCTGGATCAATGGGAAATATTTTTTCGTTTTCTTTCTCTGACAGATTTCTGATTACACAAGCATCTGCTTTTTCACAGTCTGGATTGTGTACGTGACAAATTTCTTAACTATCTTTGGGGAACAAACTAAATCATGAAGTTCTTACTTCACAGTTTAGCCTTGAAGTGTTCGTTTTAAATATTATGACTCTTACTCATTACCTAACTTAAATACAAAACTGTACTACCCTTTATAATTTAAAAAATTATTTCTTCATTATCTGCTCACACATTACTTTCCTTTCTCCATAGAGGTTCAGGATTTTAAACAAGTTGGTGTTCATCTTGCTTAATCACTTAATTGCATAGACAACCTTGCACCACCATTCACTGATGCCCTTGAATAGTCAGATCAGCCTCTGAAATTTGGTATATATTGTTCGTGTTGCCCATGTACACGTTAACATGGGGTAGAACATGGGGAGTGGGCAGATAAATGATAATTTTAAAGGCTAGCAAAACCAAAAACCATTAAATTATTTCTTCAGAGAGGGTGTGAGGACACCATGCCATTGCTATTAAGTGTCATGGAGCCAACTGCGACTCACAGTGACCCTGTGAACCTTACAAGGGAAGCTTTGCTGTATGCTGCACGGTTCTCAAGATCTCCACTGTGTTCAGGCCCATTGTCAACACTGGGTCAGTCTGCCTTGTCAAGTGCCAGGTGGACTAAAATCTAAGTCCGTTTTGGAGCTGAGTAATTCCTGTCAATATCTGGCTGGTATATTGTGACTTAACTGGCCTGTGAGTTGACTGAGAGCTGCTTGGAATGTTGTTTTGGTGTAATTTTTACCCTTTGCTGATGAAGAAAATAATACTGAAGTTGGAATGTTTATGTCTAAATGTGCTTTTAAAATTTATTGTTTCTACTATTCTTCTCCCTTTCCTATTTTTGGATTCTTAAATGGATCTTCTTATTTCTAAGCATCAAATATATTTTTATATTAGATTCTGCCTATGATGAGAGGAAATTACTAAAATATTTTATGTATTCCAAATACATTTGTATAATTTGACACGCTTGGAGGCATAGTCTAATAGTAATAATGTAAAATGCACCTTACTCATGAATATATTTAAGATTTTACCTCTACTGGGCTAGATATCTTTTTATTTTGTCTCATGAAAGCTATGTCTTTTACTACGTGAAGACTCTTAACTTTCAGAAGTCACAGAAAATAAGATTACTTAATTGTTCTGTATTGCCTATGTCAGTTACTGGTAGGACTTGCAGTTTCTCTGATTTAAAAGACAGTGCATACTCGATTTTTTAAAATACACACAGGTACACTCACACACATCATGTATATTATCTTTGCTGTGTAAACATTTACTGTAGCTTGCTGCCTTACACAAATGGCTTTATAAGATATACAGATCCTGTATAGTATTTCTCCTATTGTTTTGAATCATGGTGATGGTATATTTTATATATTGTTGTTGTTGTGTGCAGCTGATAGTGAGTGCACCTGTGACTAATAGCAACCCTACAAACAACAGCTCTGAAACCTGCCCTGTCCTGAGCTAGTCTCTCTGACTCCAACACACCTACTCCCATGACCCTAGTTACTCTATCAATCCATCTCATCCGAGATCTTCCTCTCCTGCACTGTCCCTCCACCCTTCTGAGCATAATATCCTTCTCCAAGAACCAGTCCCTCCTGGCTGTGTGACCAAAGGATGTGATACGGAGCTTCAGAATCCTAGCCTCCAAGGAGAAACTTGGTTTCACCATCTCTAAGACAGACCTGTTTGTCCTCTTGGCAGTCCAGAGGATGTTTAATACTCCTCTCCAGCACCACTCAAACTCAAAGGCATCATTCTTCTGTCATCCTTCATCATACAAAACAAAATTGCTAAGCCCAGATCATTTAAAGAACATACAAAACACAGTAGGGGGAAAAAAGACTTATAAGCTAGGCATAGGAAATGGGTGGAAGATGAAGTGGGGAGAGGGTAAGAGAATGAAGAGTTGGTCCTTAAAAAAATATGTCCCCTCCATAGTGAAGTGGCCAGACTCACCAAGGGTAGAGTATAACAAAGCTTTCTTTAAAAAAACAGCAAAGAGGCCAAGTTTTAACACCTAATTGATGCTAGTATTAAGCAGCAACAACCCAGGTGACCTGTCAGTTACAGTTAACTTACTCCATAGGCCAGTGGTTCTCAAATTTTTGTGGTATTCATTTTGTGCCCCACTCATAGAGATTCTGATTCAATAGGTTCCAAGCAAAAAGTATCTTTAGCAAGCTCTGTGGATGATGCTAGTAAGTGGCCCAGTGGCTACACCACAATTTGTAAGTATTTAGTAAATCTAGGATTGAACTCAGATTGTGCATCATAGGTTTAGTGGATAGGTCTAGTGGATAAGAACTTGCAATGTCAACTCAAAGGCACCACCTCAAATCCACCACCTGCTCTGTAGAAAAAAAGATGATCATTCTCCTGAGGGATTTACAGCCATGGGGAAAACCTGCTGGACGTTCCACTATAAATTGGTTCTGGCTTGAGTACTTGTGACAATAAATTTGTTTTCTAAAAAAGATGCATGAGCTGAGTTTCACAGGAGAAGACTTGCAGTTAGGGGAAAAAAGATGATTGGAACTGGATCTCAGCCCTGTACTTGATGAGCAAAAGCAGAGAGGTGAGAGATGTGTGGTTTTGGGGGCCAGGCCACTGGAGAATTTAGCAGCGCCATTCCTTGCTGACTGTTGTTGATTGCCTTCTAGTTGAGCATGACTCATAGAGACACTATGAACAAAAGACCTGAAAGCCCTCTACAACTATAGACATTTATCAAAGTTCATAAAGTTTCTGGAGGCATGTTATTTAGGAAGTGGATGCCACTCCTACCTGCAACCTTGCTGACTACGCCACCAGAAAACTAGCATAATCAGATTTTCCTTTAGACTAAGCAGTCAGAGATGGGAAAGCAGTCATGGAGACCTTCTCCACGAACCTTGGCCATTTGCAAACACCAATTTCCCGACGCCCTTTTGCGAGCATGGTGAGGTTCCAGTCTTTTTGTCCCTTTCAGCTTCCCATTGGCCGGGCGGTCGAAGTCCCGCCTTCTCCCGCTGCTGTTACGCGGCTTCCACGAGGTGGGGCTTTGTGACGCACGCCCTGACGTTCCCTGCAGTATAAAAGGCTCCGCTCGGGCGCTTGCTCCTCCAGGAGCCGCCGGCAAGGGGGCAACGAGGAAGCTCGTTAGAGTGTAGCCGGAAAGCAGAAGGTGGGGCGA